CGCGCCCTGCGGCGGCTGCAGGCGGGTGGTGTCCGCCGGGGCCCCGACGACGACGAGCAGGGCTACGAGATCATCAGCTTCGCGGAGCCAGGTGGGTGCGCGGGGCCCGCGGGCAGCCAGGCACGACACCTCGCGGTCGCCCACGCGGCCCCCGAAGGGTCGCACCTGGTGCCAGACCGCGGGAGACCCTGGGCAAGCCCGTACCCGGCTGGCCCCTGGGCTGGTGGGAACCCGCGAGGAGGTGCAGCCCCCTGAACCTCGGGGTGCCGCAGCACGGCAGGGGGCTGGGGTCCTGGCCATCTGCCTCTTCGCGGTGGGGTGAGGGTGCCTGGAGCTGTGCGGGCTGGGATTAAATTGTCAGTTAATGCACTTGCTGTGCACTGGTGGCCTCCCAGTGCTGCTGATGCAGGAAGGCTCAGCCTGGGAGAAGGAGAGATGGCACCTCTTTTGCTCCTGCATTGCCTGCTTGGGACCCTACACGTGAAGTGCTGCAGCGCAGCGCTTCTTGAAAGATGGGGGCAGGCCAGGGTGCCTGGGACTTCCAGTAGTTGGACTTGGGAGCTGCAAGGACTAGCTCAGGGCTGGGGAGTGGGGGTTGGAAACACTCCCCAGCCTTGCACTGTGCAGCCAAGGGAAAGGGCCAGAAGGGCCAGGTGAGAGCAGGTGCCCCCTGTCCCCTTCTGTGCTCGTTCTGCTAGGTAGTGTGGGACAGTCCCTCATTCCAACACTACCACCCCCCTGGGTAGCCTTCCCAATGAAGGGAAGGGGACAGACGGAGGGCCCTGCGGAGGGAGGGAACGTTGTAGGTCTTTCCTGAGAAGAAGCCGAAAGAGACTGGCCTTGGTGTGCAGGGTGGTGGTGCAGCCTTACCTTCCCTAGCATCCTGCAGCATTCACCTCCTCATCCCTTTCTCCCCTTAGAGCCCACATCTCCCTCTGGCTTGGGGCTGCGGTTCCAGTTCAGCCGTACACAAGACCAGGACATTCACATCCTGCAGGCTCAGCTTTGGCTCTACCTTCGAGTTCCCCGAGACCTGGTAGCCAGCCTCACCCTGAGAATCTTCCTTGCTGGTGGGGAAGGTGATTTAGTAGGGGGCAATCGCACGTTGCTGAGCGAGAGGCGACTGAGTGCTAAGGGCAGTGGCTGGCGTGCCTTCACCCTCATGCCTGCCCTGCAGAGTTTCTTTGGGGGAGAGCACAGGACCCTGTGGCTGGAACTGGAAGGTCACGGGGATGGGGGTGATATCATGGCAATAGTCAATGCCAGCTGGTCCCACCAGCCCTTCTTGGTGGCTGAGGCAAAGGTGTGGGAGCCAGGACACCATGTGGCCAAGCGCAGCCTCCGCTGCAGCCAGAACTCCAACCTCTGCTGCCGCAAGGACTACTACGTGGATTTCCGTGACATCGGTTGGAACGACTGGATCATTAAGCCTGAGGGCTACCAGATAAACTACTGCGTGGGCCAGTGCCCTCTACATGTGGCAGGCAGCCCTGGGATGGCCTCTTCTTTCCACACAGCTGTCTTCAACCTCGTCAAAGCTAACAACATCCAGGCATCAGGGCACTCCTGCTGCGTGCCGACGCGACGCCGGCCACTCTCTGTCCTCTACTTCGATCGCAATAGCAACATTGTCAAGACTGACATCCCTGACATGATTGTTGATGCCTGTGGCTGTAGCTAGGGTTGGGGGAGCCATGCTGGGTACCCTTCCCTTCTCCAGGATTGTTCCTCTGGGGGAGGGGAGGGCTGGAGAGCTCCCTTGAGCTGGAGTCAGACTGCGGTGCGATGGACCCCTTTGGAAAGGTTGGGGAAGGGGGGAGGGAAGCGGCGGGGGGGGGGGGGTGGTGAGGAGACAGTCTCATCAGACAGCAGGGATTGTCTCCAGAGAGCACCTGGGACAGGGGTCTCTGTGGAAATGTGGGACAGAGCCAAGGCCACATCAGACTGCCTGAGTCTGAGCTGTGGGCGGTTGGTGTGACTCTGGGCATCCCTGCCCTGACTGGCAGCATCCCTCTGGTCCCAAGCTGATCCCGCATTTGTGGTGGTCATGTTCCCCTCTGTGTGTGGGGTGAGGGGGTCCTGCTTTGTTCACATTCAGGGTGTCTGGTGACAGTTTGGGGCTCAGCCTCCTTGAGAGCAGGGTGGGATGCAGGAACGTGTCTGTTTCCTCCAAGTGGGAAACTGGAGGACAAGAGGCAGTCCTGCTTTTCTCCCCTGCTGCAACAAATCTTCCTGCATCAAATTTGCCTCTTGTTGGGGACAAGTGGAATAAGGCACAAATAACAGGCCTGGAAGATAAGGATGAGGGGTATGACTGTCAAGAACCCAAAATTGCAATGATGAGACACAGCCCTCTGCTCCCAGGAGGGCATGGAGCTGTGAAGGATGGCCTTGCTTGCTGGCCAGGTCCCGTCTATTTCCCCTTTCATTTCCCTGGGTTTTGTGCTTTTCTTCCCTGCTTCCCACCCCACCAGTCAGGTCTCTTCCAGCCCAGTGCCTCCTTACAAGGAGGTCTGACTCAGACTTTGCCTTTAAGACCATACAAAGGGTACAGATTTTTTTGTACCTCTAGTTTTGCAGCTATTACTACTTTTACAGTAGACATTTCTGCAGCTGTTGGGACTCCCTGGTGCTCCATCCTGTCTAGTCACCTCTGCTGAAGATCCCACTCTGCCTTTGCCTTCCCGATACTCGTGTATACAATGCACCCACATGGCCTGTGCTTTTAATTTATTTTAATACTTTGGTGCGGCTTCCCCAATAAATGGGTGGAAATGCAACATCCAGGCTCTGACTGCTTTCTCATGGCACCACCTGCATGAATGGGGTTGGGAAAATGGTCCTGCTTAGCCAGAAAGTCCTACATGTGGCCCAGGCCCCTCAGGCTCTGGCTGGGAGGATGGTGGGCTCCGGGGCTGGAGCAGCACAGGAGCTGCAAGCCATTAGCAGCTGTGGGCAGCACTGCTGTGCTGGGAGGTGAGGGGAGCTGCGGTGCTTCTGGGGCTCCCTGGGTGCCGTGGGGTGTTGCTCACTGAGACCCGGTGTGAGCAGGGCTATGCAGGAGCTTTTCCCTGTGGATGGTGGGCCCAGGGACAGGGCAGGGGCTGGGAACTGGGTACTGCCTCGCTGGGAACTGGAGAGTGGTGGCCTGTAATACGAGCATCAAAGAAGCTGTTTCCCAGCAGGGCAGGTACTGCTAGGGGGCATAGCCCAACCTGAAGATGCTGTTCTCCACCTGGATTGGTCCTGACTGGAGCTCAAAATACCACAGTTCTGGAGAATCTGTCCCCAGGGGGGTGACCTCAAAAGATGAGCCAGAGCCCACCCCCACATCCAGTGCCCCCACTGCAAATACCAGAGATTGTACCCTACTCATGTCTCACTGACCTCCTCGATCCCCTCTCATGCTCCCCTAAACACCACCCAATGACCCCAGTCTCAACCACATAGCAGCCAGTCACAGAGTCTGGCAATGCCCAGACTGGTGGGTGATGGGGAGTCTCCTGTGTAATTTCGGGTGGGATGCTTCCAGAGTGGAAGGCAATGCCCCCTGCTCATCCCTCTGAGATCCCACACCGCTGGCCTGGGTCCTTGTTGTGCAAGCACCTGCTCAAAGCTCAGCTTGGGGCTGTTTTATCTGGGGGCAAACCCACTTGCTTTCCCAGCTTGGCCCTGTGCTGCACCCTGCAAATGGACAAAGGGCATCTTTCATCAGCCGGCTGCAGTGGGCATCCCCCCAGGCTGCAGGGGCAGCATGGCTATCACCCACACTCCCCCAAATATCTCCACCTGTGGGGAAAAGCCAACTGTACCTGCAGGGTGCCTTAGCCTTCTGGGTGCTCCCACAGCCCCAGCATATGCATTGCTGACACAACGGGTGTCGTGGTTTAACCCCAGCCAGCAACTAAGCACCACGCAGCCGCTCCCTCACTCCCCCCCCATCCAGTGGGATGGGGGAGAAAATCGGGAAAAGAAGTAAAACTCGTGGGTTGAGATAAGAACGGTTTAATAGAACAGAAAAGAAGAAACTAATAATGATAATGATAACACTAATAAAATGACAACAGTAGTAATAAAAGGATTGGAATGTACAAATGATGCGCAGGGCAATTGCTCACCACCCACCGACTGACACCCAGCCAGTCCCCGAGCGGCGATTCCCTGCCCCCCCCTTCCCAGTTCCTAAACTAGATGGGATGTCACATGGTATGGAATACACTGTTGGCCAGTTTGGGTCAGGTGCCCTGGCTGGGCATGAGAAGCTGAAAAATCCTTGACTATAGTCTAAACACTACTGAGCAACAACTGAAAACATCAGTGTTATCAACATTCTTCACATACTAAACTCAAAACATAGCACTGTACCAGCTACTAGGAAGACAGTTAACTCTATCCCAGCTGAAACCAGGACAACGGGGCACCTTGTCGGTGTCCGTGCCCCCAGGAGTGTGTGCTGCCATACATATGCTGAGAGTCGCAGGTGTGGATTTCAGGTAAGCGCACTGGGACGTGCAGTGTCTCTATTGTCTCCCTGCTCCCTCCCCGTATCGGCACTCTTGCTATAGCCAGTGCAACTGGGGGTGGGGTAGGCAGGGCATCCCACAAAGATGCCAGATACCACATTTTCCTTTGCCAGCAACACAGCATCCTCCCTGCCACAGTGGATGTGTGTCTCCACATGTGTGGGAGGTTGTCCGCACACATGTGCGTGATGTGCTGACTCACTGACACACTGACACGCTGACCCACCAGCCCAGAGCCGAGATGCTGAGCTGGCTGTGGTGGTAGCGTTAAGTCTTTAATCTGGGTGATCATCTGGCCCTGCTTTGAGCCACTTTAACTTTCCTAAACAGGAGGCCAAGATTAACTGTCGGGCCTCCCGTGGGGTGGGGGATGTGGCAGGGTTGGGGGTCTGACAGTGGAGAGCCGCTGCGGGGGGAGCTGCCCCAGCATTCTTTCCACCCAAGGGGCTCAAAGCTGGTGGCAAAACGGACCTGGGCTTGTCTGGCCATGCAGATGGCGGCCCCTTGGGAAGTGGTGGGTGGTCTTGGGGCAAGTCCCCAGACCCTGTGAGGGAGCCCTGACTGGGCCGTGGCGGTGTGGGCGGCAGGGCTGGCCCTGCACAGTGCCCGGTGCCCGGGCAGGCCTTTCCTGGCAGCTTAGCCAGGGTCACGCTCAGCTCAGGAGTAAATCTGCTGAGCCGCTTATGCCTATTACAAAACGGGCATGCAGGCAACCCCTCTTAGCTGCACCCGCCACCTTGGCCCTGCCTTGGGACTGATGCTGTTGGGCTCGATCCACCGCAGCAGCCTGGGGGCATCCCAGGACACAGCTAGCTGTTCTGACCTCATGCTAGAGCAAGGGGGAAGTATGAAGGTGTTGCCACCTCACCTGTGTGTTGGAGCCTCCCTGGGGAGCAGAGACACCCCTCCTCACCCCTCACTGTGTTGGGGGTGGCTGGCAGGGAAAGGAACTGATTTCAGGCTAGGAGAGTGGGGAGGGAAACTGAGGCAGGGAGAAGTCTTTTGCAAGCCATGGCTGGGAGCTGAGGTGTCTCCTGAAATCTATCTCATACTGTAATCCCCACGTTGTCCCTCTGCTCTGGGGGTCCCATGCAGTCAGTGGAGAGGGCGTTTCCCGGAGCTGTGGCATGGGTCATGCCAGAAAAACTACTCCTGTGGTGCGCTGGACACCTGCAGTGCATGATGACATGCAGGGGCACTGGGAGGACAGGCTAATGCCGAGGGAGGCAGGGTGCCCACAGCGGTGGTAATCCTGCTAAGAGGCTCTGAGGTCAGGCTGGATGTGTGGCACAGCTCCCATCACCTTTGAGGCTCCGTCGTCCCAGAGAGGAGCACAGAGCTGGCAGGAGCTGGGAGCAGCTGAGCACCAGGGCAGGGTGAGAATGCGCATGCCCCCACGAAAAGCGTGTCTGCGGTCACCTGGGGACCTGAGCACGCACAAAGTGGGGCATGTCCTCAGCTCCCTCCTAGCAGGCTCTCCTCCTGCAGGAGCCCCCGGGAACAGCCCTTTGCCAAGCCCTGCTCCTGGTCCAGACCCACTCCAGCCCTGGTGGTCCTGCTGCCCTGCCTGCTCTGGGCTGCAAGGCTCTGCAAGGCCACCTTCTCCAGCCCAGAGCTCCTGCATGGGCTGTCCAGGCAGGGGGGGTTGTAGCTTCAGACTCACTTTCCCAGCAGTCAGGGAGCAAGGACTAGGGAAATTGGGGCAGGGGCAGAGCTGCAGGAAGGAGCAGGGTCTCCAGGCCTAAGGAGGTCTTGGAGAGATCATCCTGCCTTCCCACTGTGCTCTGCTGGCATTGACACGTGCTGTCACGTTCTGGCTAGGGACAGGTGGGCAAAGGCCACTTTCCCTGAAATAGCTGCTTGCACCCAGGGCCAGCCTGGCTCTTCCCCTACATTTAGTCACTGTGGCACAGGGAAGGAACCGACCTTCATTGTAAAAACAAACAAGAAGGAAAAGCAGCACTGCTGGGTGAGAAATTAATTTCCTTCTAACCCTCCTCCCCATCCCTGGAGCTCCCAGGCCCTGCTTCCCACTCTAGCTCAGATACCCACATTCTCTCCTGCCTCCCTCCGTGCAGGTACCACCGTTGCCCTGCTTTCCCTTCACAGGTGACAGGACCTGGCTACCTGCAGACCCTGTGAGCTGGACAAGGCTAAG